TATTAAAGTCCCTTTGTGTTAAGTTATTTAATCATTAAGTTTAAATTTGATTGACCAGTTTAAGAATTGTTTAATAATTATCGTTTCAAAGACTTAATTTCTTTTCTAACAGGTAGATACATACACTGGGTATAGTTATTTTCTATTATATGTGCCTCGTAAAAGAAAAAGAAACTATTCCCTATACAAAGAGAGAAAGTTTATTGTGATGATACTTAAAAAATTAATTATATGTAGGTCCTTTCACTTTTTCATTATCATTATAATCCGAAACCGAATTTAAATTTATCGCTAAAACACGCAAAATTTACGCCGAAAATTCCAATTAAGCAAGATACCAAAATTCTAAACGTCCCTGACGATCCGCTTCAATAATCTGTTCAAATTTCGTCATTCTAATCCATCAAACCCGCGTTCTATTCGAAATAACTACCAAGTAATAAAAAAAAGTAGTACCATGGCCAATGTCAGTAGGTGATTGCCGAATTTTATCGCTGAAAAAAACTGGGTGAATACCAAAAGAAAGCACAAACTTGACCTCTTTTTAGTCTACCCAACCTATAAGGTTAGTTCTCATGATATTGACAACTTACGCGAGTATGTTACGAGTGGATTGTTTCGTAACTTGTTACCAAATTGGTACTGACTATTATGCGGCGGTGTTTAGTACCCACATACAAATCGTTTATAAATTATATATTGGTGAACCGCTGACTGACTGTATACACAATGAATCAAGCGTGTTGATTTATTAAAGATAATGTCATCTGTCTACTCCTGTATTGAGATTGGGAAATTTTATTTGATATTTGTCCCTTTTGCCTGAAGTTTATTTGTAATTCGAATTTGGCAACCATGAGAATGTCTTTCTGTCCATTCCCCTCTTTTTCTTCATTTTACCTTCCGGTAACTGAATAATTAGCTCCACAGTTACAATTACAGAGAATTACAATTAGGAATGCTTTTGGGAAAGAATGTCAAGACATATATGAAAAAGAACAATAGAAAAGGAACTAAAGAAAATAATTTATAATGAAGCAAAACAGAAAATAATTGAAAAAGTTGATAAACACGATCGAATCGAAATCAACGGATAGTACATTAGCTTTTATTCCGAAAATACACCTACAGTCTACCCTTGAACAACACTGTCATATTACCTCAAATAAACACAAGTGGTGATCGGCTACCATAGGCAATAGCTCCCCAAACTATTACTCCAACTGTCCTGTGTACATGCCTCTCAACAAAAAACTCGATATCATGTCGCTCTTCACGGCGGCGTCTTACGATCCTACGACCATCATGCCATTCTAAACAGAATCGTGATTCACCGCTGAATGCTACATTACGCCATTCTGCCACCCAATTCTGCCGTTCTCTGCACCAATTCAAACGTTGATGACAGTGGTCCGCAGTCAAAGGAAGCACTAGTCGTGGGTGGAATGAAACCAGTCCAAAGGATCGAATACGACGATAAAGTGTACTCAGATCTACCTACCACTCCAAACCATTGGTCAGCAATTTGACGCGTAGTATCAAAACGGTCTCGCAAAGCCAGTAACTAAAGCGCCTATCTTGACACTCTGTGGTACGCCTCGATTGTCCAGTTGGTCTTCTTCGTGTCCTCTACCTTCGTTTGTTCACACGCGACAGACACGCATAACCTTCACTGTCGTACAATTATTTCGTACAATAATTCTACCCCTGTCGAAATTGCTAACATGATCGTAATTTTGGTGTCTTTGAACTTGAGGCATTTTTTTACACTGAATACAATCAGACTGAGGACATAACTAAAAATTTCTATACGAACCGCTTTTCACAAATCGTTCTCTTCGCAAAAAAGATACTTTATTGTATATTGTATATTATAATAAAAACTTTATTTTTACAAAAAGTACAAAAAATAAAACATTGGTATTGTTATCATAGCATGTTTTAAATATAGTCATTCTGTTGCCAAAAAATTAAGTTCAAGAAATTATTTCTTCTGAGTGTAACACTTCTAATGTCACTGACTGAAGTTTTCTTCAAAAATTTATTCACAAATTTTAATATATTAGAATGAAAACCACAATGGTTTGTCTCCTTCGAACCAAAATGAGGATCATAAGATTCTCGAACCACATCAAAGAAGAAAAGCAAATAACTTACAGTTTATCTCAAATTTAGCTATTTTCAAACTTCTCCAGGACACGTGAATCAAACACTTTCACTCAACTTTTTTTCTTTTAAATCTATTAAATTACCTTTGGTAAAAATTCACCGTTCTTGCATACCAAAATAAAGATAAAGATGCATACCAAACTTCGTGTATACAGAGCAATTGTAGGACCGATTACCACATATGGTGCCGAATGTTGGACGATGACAATGAATGAACGAGATATAGTTGACGTTGTGGAAATGGATTATCTTAGAAGGTCATGTCGAGTATCGAGAATGAAAGAATCAGGAATGAGGAAATACGAAACCGTACAGAAATTAGAGATACTCTTTCAGATAGAATACAAGGAAAGCAATTACAATGGTATGTTCACGTGATGAGAATGGAGGAGGAGCGGTGGCCAAAGAAAGCCTTAATGTATGTTCCGCCAGAAAAAAGGAAAAGAAGAAGACCACCAAATTCATGGAGAAGAGAAATTACAAAAACAATGCAATCTAGAGGCTTAGAAGGGGGAGATTGGAGAGATAGGAAAAGATGGAGGCTGAAATGCGGGAAGCGACAATCGCCGTAGGACCGCCGTTATATGATGATGAAAAATTCACTGTTCATGAAATATGGCAAACCAAGCTCTTTCAAAATTTTTTCTAAGATCCCTGCCTTTCTCCTGTTACCTTATTTTATGTCTTCACTTCCTCACCTCACCTAAAATAATTCCTATCCAATCCGCTTTTTCAATTTTCTCTCCGCTAGTCTTTTTCTATCTCGTAATCCTGTTCTCCACAAAAATTTCCGTATAAATTATATAAGTTAAAATTATCCAATGTCTTCTAAGAAATCATCCAAAAACCATTAATTATTAAAATTCCTAATCCGTTAGAAAACTTCTATTGTGTTTACTTAAACGAAGCGTCGATAACAAATACGATCATGAATCTTCCTAGAAATCGCACAGAGAAAGTCTTGTGAATCCTCACTGCCCATTGTCCTTTTATTTTTTTTCCAATCTTCTTTAAGTACTATCTCCGCGGCGGAGGTCGGCAATCATGATAGCTATTCGGATTTTTGAGACGGCTGCTCTGAAAAGTTCATTTGATGTACCACTCTGTCACTTTGCGCAGCCGTGACATTCTACGCCTTCCTATGCTTCTCTTTCCTTGAATCTTTCCCTGCATAATCAGTTAGAGTAAGGTGTATTTCTCTCCACGTGTAATATGTCCGAAGTATTCCAATTTTCTTGTTTTAATTGTATTAAATATTCTACTTCTTTATTCATCCTTCTCAGAACCTTTTGTTTGTGACGTGTTCTGTCCACGATATTTTCAGAATTCTTCTATACACCCATAGCTCGAATGATTCCAGTTTTTTCATTGATGTTGCATTCAAGGTCCAAGATTCCGTTCCATAAAATAAAGCCGAAAAAACAAAGCACCTCGCCAACCTAACTTTTAGTTCCAATTTTAAATCCCTCTTCTCATTTTGTTGAAATTTGCTCTAGCCTTTTCTATTCTGATTTTGATCTCCTGAATGTAATCATTTGTGGAGTTAATCATTGTTCCCAGATATGCATATTTGTCCACTTGTTCGACGTTGGTTCCGTTTATTAGAAGATTCCTGTTATTTCTTGGAGTTTTCGATATTCTCATAAATTTCGTCTTCTTGACATTAATTGTTAGACCATACTCTTTTCCATACTCCACTATTCTGGCCACCAGTCTCTGAAGATCTTCAATATTTTCGGCTAAGATCACAGTGTCGTCCGCATATCTAATGTTAATGGGAACTCCATTTACCTTGATTCCAGCTGTTTCACCCTCAAGAGCGTTTTTCAGGATCTCTTCGGAGTAGGCATTAAAAAGAATTCGCGACAATACGCATCCCTGTCTCACTCCACATCTAATTTCAATTTCTTCTGACAGCTGTTCGTTAAGATGTAGTTTTGCTCGCTGTTTATAGTATAAATTTGATATGATCCTGAGGTCGTTGCAGTCAATCTTCTTTGATTTCAGGACATTCATTATGCCATACCTTATCGAATGCTTTATTATAGTCAATAAAACACGCGTATATGTCTTGATTGACGTCCAGACATGTTTTTATTAGTTTTATTCCAATCAACAATCCTAAATTACACTGTAAAACTACCTAACTAAATATACAGTAAACGTTATAAACATTTACCTCATTTTAGAATCTTGACAATATATACTTTGTTTATTAGGCATACACACCCATCCAGTAGGTATCGATGAAAAAGTAACATTGAGCCGCATGCATCTTTTCTCGTACTATCCATAAGTTGTGTTCGGTTAGCCATTTATGTGTAGTCAAAAAAGTGTATTTACGTATTATTTATTTCCACTATTCTTAAGATATTACTATTAAGATACTACTATTAGTACTATTCTTAAGATATTGTTGTAAGTCACATACCTGCAACAGCGGCCCTGTGCTTTTGCGAAGTCTAGAACTTTTTCTTCGTCGCTGGAATATTCCAGGAACCGTTTCCATTGATGCGAAGACCTTCGAGAATTTACGTGGTTCTCGTCACCCGGTAAGCTTTTTCAGAACATTTCGATTTCATTGTATAGGCCAATCGAGCCGGCCTTTGATTATCAATATTGACAATTCTACGTATCAGTGCAAATTGTTTTGTTAGGAATAATCATTAATGTAACTTTGATGTTTATAATTGAGTTTTTGAGTTAAATAAAGTTAGGTAAACAACGTTGTGCTTCACTTAATCTCTGAACTTACAGAACCACGTAACAATACATAAAATAACATGAAATAAAAGAAAATAGCTGCAAGTATGCTAAAAAATACAACCTACCTTGATTCGTAATTTTTCATCAACACATTTTTTGAGAAGTTTCAACGGCCCTACAGTCTGCTCCATTTTACTTAAAATATTCCTAGAATATCTGATGCTTCTGGTTGTAGGAATAGGCACTGTAAAAGAAAACATATTTGTACGTACATACGAAAAAAAAAAAATTCAATATAACGATATTTACTTAGGTTTTTAAATGTTAAAAGTGAAGTAATCATCTTTTGGAAACAAAAAGCAAAAAAACAGTGTTTGATGAATGCGTGTTTCCACGAACACGCCAGAGCTACATCCTTTTTAGAGCCTACAGAAACGAAGTGCTACTAATGACAATAGACATTTTAGACATTGTAGAGTCATGATACTATGACTAACAAGATAGGATCTTCCCGTAGCACAAAATCGGTCGTGTTCGCGCATGCCGTCATTGGAGAGTAGAATTTGAATTCTTGTTAAAGTTAAATGGGATTTGTATGCATTCTGTGATAAAATTACTAGACGAAAATAAGTTAAGAGGTTTAATAGTTACAATAATTGTACACATAAGGATATCTCCAAACTATTTATTAAAGATTATTTATTGATACATACAAAAAACTGGCATTTCGAACGTGCAACTCTCCAATGACGTCACGACTTATGCGCAATATCTTATCTTAGTCATAGTATCATGTTGTAGAGTGAAGATATTTGTAAAAGCAATGAAACTTTTACAGATTGTGATATGAAAATAAGAAACAGATAATACTGGCAAATCTTTCGGATCATCTCAAGGTGTTCTTCTACCGCCGATGTTACCTTTAAATGTAAAGGATTATATGGTTGGTTTCTCATAATATGAGAAATTTTTTTAATTGATTAAACATTTTTTTTTGTTTCGCTAGGTTGATTAGCTCTTCCATTTTTCCCGTTCTTGGCGGTGTCTAAACATTTATTTTCGTTTGAACGTTGCATTTCTTGATGATGAAAAAATTATACAGATAAATTATTTATGTTAACCACAAAACACATATTTTATGCAATGATCATAAGCTAAGTGCATAATAATGACTTAAATTCAAAAATTATCCTTACATAACCATCAATTACAGTGACCCTGGACAAATATACTAAAATAACCGCCATCATTAATCCATTAGATTTTATCGCATTGTAGAAAAGTTAACTCATTCATCTTATTTGCAAATTAATTTAATCAGAAATTTAAAAAATTGACACTATTACATGACTCTTATGTTTTTATTTTGAAAAATTAAAATTTAACCAAGATTAATGATATCTTAAACTCCTCGTTTTGATGAATTCGGTGTCAGGGATAATTTAATGGATCTTATAAAATATAAGCTTTTGTTGTAGCTAAAAATTATGCTAAATATCACAGAAAAATTATTGTCAAAACGAATATAACGCATTAAATAAAAAACAGCACGTGGCATTTTTGTTTTCACTATTCTCCTTACAATTTCATCATATCGGCTTTTAGAACAAATAACAATTTAGGCAAATATATAAAAAACAACAAGAAACTTAAATGTGACGACTGCCGAAAAACTTACACCGGTCAAACTGGTAGATTTTTTATCAAATTTATAGCAGAACATAAAAGGATTTTCAATAATAGAAAAAATAGAATGAAGGCTGGATGATGATGATGATGATGATGATGATGATGATGATGATGAAGCAATCTTTATTAGAATATATGGAAATCAACAAATTAATAAATACAGACATAATTCTGAATGACTATCTTGAGAAAAACAGTTCTCCCCTCCTTAACTTATTCAGTTAAAGACTATAAAGTGTAAACACATACCAAAAATACATCACTTGCGAAAGGCACCCTGATCGAAACAGATGTGGTGATAATAATTTAAAATAAATTGTATGGAAGTATTGACAATAAAAGTTTTCAGTCTTTTATTATTAGTATAATATGCATGTATATTATTGTATACCGCAAGATTTCTGCACGCGTCTCAATATTTTTCGTCACGTTAAATATTATTTCGGGCCCGTGCAAAAACATACCTAGCGATAAGAATTCACATTAAAAAGAAAGCCGAATCAAGATCATCTCAAGGTGTGGTGAAGATGAAAAAATTTCGATCTCGAAAAAAAATATTGGTAAAATTGAAATGTGCTTAAAACGTGGTTAAATGAATGAAAGCCACTGTAGAACCCTTTATCGTAGAAGTATACATATAGCAATAATATTTTTTTATTATATGTCATTGATCCATTTTATGTCTATTGTTAATGAAAAGGTCAACTAACATTTAACTTAGAATATTAATTTGAAATGTTCATACATTAACTACAATTAAATCGTAAGTTGGAATTATTTACCAATCTTTAGTAGGTTCTGAATGATTTCCATTTCCTTTGTTCTACAAATAATAAAAAAATTGCTAACGTCTGCAATACATTTTTAGTATTCATGTAGAAATATTTCTAGATGTTTATAAATTAACTCATTCATTTTAAGGTGGGGGAAGAATATTAACTTTTATAAAATATGGAAAATACTGAAATATAGTATTGTGCAAATTAATGAAATCATTGTGACATTTTTCAATATTTACTTAACAACTGACCAAGCATTGAAAACATAACCTTACTTTTCTCTACGTTTTTGAGGGTGTTTTAGGACATTTCCCACTAAGTTTGTGTTGTTTTGTACTATTTTGTGTTGTTTTTCGGTAATTAGTTAGTTTCTTCTTCTTCTTCTTCCTCGTTATAAGAAATTCTGCTTGTTCATTGGTGAATTAATATTTTGTGCGGTCGTACGATACTTCTAATTAGTTAGTTTGTTTCATTTAATTCCATCATGGATATTACGCCTACAAAGCGTGAAAAGATTTTCATAAACACAATGTCACAGAAAGAAATCGCAAGAACGTGTGGAGTGAATCGGGGGATAGAAAGCACAATTTTAAAGCATAAACGAGAAACGGAATGAATGGATATGAAAAGGTTAGAAAAATGCGAAGACAGAGAAAAACAACACCAGCAGATGAACGATTTTACTTCGAAAGGGCAAATTGGAGACAAGAAAAACAAGCCAAGAGCTCCCAACAAGATCTAGCAGCATCAGGTGTAGCGATTCGTGGCTCAACTGTTCGGAAAAGTCTTTTGGAGAATGGTAGAAGGGCAATGCGTTCACAGAAAAAAAAAGCTTCTAACTGAACGAATGAAGAAACAAAGGCTATTGTTGGCCAAAAAAACTCTAATTGGACTGTAGTCGTCTGGAGAAAAGTCCGACGATGAAAACCTTACATCATCTCATATTGATTAAAACATCCAGTCAAAAAAATGCTTTAGGGGTGTTTTCATACATGGGGATTGGATCTTTGGTACCAATCGAAGGAATGATGAACAGCCAAAAATACAAATCCATGTTGGAACAGCGTTTGGACATAAAACTCCAAAAATGTGAGTCCCAATGAGGAGCTATTCTTCAACAGGATTCTGCTCCCTGTCACAAGTCAAAGCAAATGATGGAATTTTTCAAAAATAACAAGATTAATGTTTTAGATTGGTCCGGTAATTCGCCAGACCTCAACCCCATTTAAAATTTATGGGCTCTTTGCAAAGCTAGACTGCGCAAAATCGACTGTACTACAAAAATAAAAATGATAGAAGCGGTCATTCTGATTTGGTTTCGAGTTGAAAGAATATCTGGGAACTGTCAGAAGCTCGTAGAATCTTTGCCAAAACGGGTAAAAGCAATAATTGCAGCCAACAGCCTATGATTCCATTAATTCGCACAGTACTGTAAGTAGTCGCCCATCATAAAGGTACGTATAGGAAAAATCCGTTAAAAAATAATCACAGATATTTACGATGTATTTTTTCTGTGTCTATTGCAGTTTTGGCTGCACTAATACACCGACAGAAAGCCCATGAAAGTGGTTTGCAATGACTAGCCAAACGTTTTAGCATTTTTTTTAAGGTTAAATATTTACATAAACTAATGGACAACAAATCAATAGCAATAATCGCAAAACATATTCAACAATATATTATACAACTCTGGAGGAATACCAACAGAATGGCTGAAATCTGAGTTTTACTGCACTTTCAAAAAAAGCAGGAACCAAAAAAAGCAAAGATTACCGTACTATAAGCCTCATAAGTCATATCCTAAAATTGTTTTTAAAATATTTCGTAAGATAATCTACAAGCTGTGTGAAAAATCAAATTACTCCGAACCAGTTCGGGTTCACAAATGCTTTTAGAGAGGCTTTGTTCTGAGTACAAGTCTTATTCCAGAGATGTAGAGACGTCAACTGCGACGTATACGCATGTCTGGCTGATTACGAAAAAGCGTTTGATCGAGTACAGCACGCCAAGATGATGCAAATACTAAAAGAAGCAGGAATTAACAACCAAGATCTGAAAATAATTAGAAATCTTTACTGGAATCAGGCAGCAAATCTCAGAGTTGAATGCGAACACACTAACTTTTGTCTCTTCTAATGTTCGATCTGTAATCTGAAAGAATATTTACCGAAACTTTGCACGAAACTGAAATAGATATTCTACTAAATGGTTACCGGCTAAACAACATCAGATATGCAGATGACACCATAGTGTTTGAGGACAACTTAAAAGACCTACAAGTTCTTATGAACAAAATCACGTATTATAGTAAACAATATGGACTCAATATAAACGTTAAGAAGACAAAGCTTTGATAATTAGCAAGAAAAGCACCATAATAAATGAAGAATGGACCAACAACCAGGTGATTAGAGCACGCATCGAAAAAGCTAGATCCACCTTCAATCGGACGGGGCCTTTTTGAAGAGTCACAACCTCTCTCTTGATAAAAAAGTAAGAATGCTGCGATGCTACGTCTTCTATGTCCATTTTTATGGTGTTGAATCGTGGACCTTGAACGAAGATATATGCAGAAAAATATTTGGAAAACGAGGTCCAGAAAGAAGAACATCTTGGTTAAAGAACCTCAGAATCTGGTTCAATACAACATCTGTGCAGCTTTTCCGCGCTGCTGCAGATAAGATAAGAATTGCCATGATAATCACCAACATTCGTAACCGATCCAAGTTATCGAGAGTTAAATAAAAATTTCATTAAGATTATAACATCAAAATGT